GTTGAAGGACTGATTAAAGCCCAAATGTTTAATCACGCCAAGAAGTCTAGGAATCTATTCTTGACGTCTCACTCCCAATCAGTCACGTGATAAAAAATGCTGCAACACTGATACACAGGGTTTTCCCTAACTCTAAAGGTTTTGTCTTTTTTCTTTCCTCCTTTGTTTCCATGGGCATTTGGCATATGCAATGACTAATTCAAAATTAATGTTGTGAGATAAAGATATTTCAGTAATGACTTTGTGAGTGTGCTTTATTGCCAAGCATGACGCCGCATTGAAGGTGTTTTCGCTCATGTGGCCTTGGACTCCATGTGGAAAATGTTATCGCTTCACGTGCCGAGTGTCGTTATGAAAAGGTCAGTTCTAGTATTAGTACTGTGACAGGGATGAGAACAGTTATTAGCGAAAAAAAGTAATAAATCAGTTGGTTTGAGGGTGTCCCAACAAGAGCGACGTCTTTGCGTAGTAATGTCACAAGCTGGCGGTGAGATTGCAAACATTCGCAAACCATTAGTCAATTGGCGATGACCCCAACACAGTTGTAAATAAAGAATACTATTGGCGAATAATGAACGCTTGCTCTATGCCTTTCAATATGCAAATGTACACGTAGCCATGGCAAGTTGCGGATCACAAAGCCAAACCGATACTTCTCCGAAACTTCGGTGCTCTTGATCAGTCTCAGAATTTTTAATACACAAACTAATTTTTCATCTTTTCAGAACTGAAAAACAAAATTCCATGATATTCCAGTTTTAGAAGTTTCAATCTCAATTACATGATTTTTCACGATTCTCCATGATGCCTGGATATAGATACGTAACTTACCTCAATCAGTGCAAGCAGAGAAGTCTGATGATTTCATCTACATTTCCATTCCAAATTTGTTTCCATGCAGGAACGATGATAAAAAAAAAAAAAAAAAAAAAATTAAATCTAATCATATAAAATATCATTAAATATATTACTCTGATATTGGATACTAGGATACAATAAATGCATTTTGATGGAAAAGGATTTCATGTAAATTAAATTTGATTAATATTAGGACTTTTTCTTGCCATTATTTGATGGATTGTTTCCCCAGGTTCAAGGAAAATAACAAATGAATTCATATAAAATGTATTGTACAATCTTAAATCTAGGTACACATTAATTACACAAGATTAATTAACCTAAACAGGATGTTTTTTTTCTCTCTTTATAAACTGATGACATGATTTGTACAGTGGATGAATTGGAAAATACATAATTGCTAGTAAACCAAAAAATGGTCCTTCACATACAATGGAGAAACACATCTATGTAATACACTTTCCATGCACAGGTTACATTAAAATAAAATTTGTACATAAAGAAAATTACAACTTGGGAAAAGAAAAGACTGGAGGGTACATCTGTGAACAAGTATGCTTGAATGTCTAATTTTTGCCAAGCTACCAAAGGAGTTAGGCAGACACTTAGAATTTTCATAAACACACTCACACTTTGTATAGCTAGCCTAATACTGGCTAGATATGGGATAGGATGATACATTAAAACACAAATTAATGCAGAGTAAAATGCAGACCAGTCCTTGCTGAATCTTCAACATGTATCCTCCCCGTATTTGGCTTGTTTCAAGTGTTCTTGTAGATGTGCACCTTGCCACACTCACAGAACAACAGGTGGTTTCAATGCCATTATAACATCAACTTTACACCCTAATTTTGCCATCACCTAACGAAGATGAAACATTTGTACTTACACTCAGAACAATCACGCCCTCCATGGACTCCTCCCCATGTTTGAAAGATATCCTTTTCCATCATCAGTTCAGCACAAGCCTCCTTCACATGCTCTTGCAGTGGGACCAGAGCTGTGTTCATAGTGATGGGGTGCAAATTCTCCCTGTACTGCCCTTTCGAGAATACTACATTACTTGAAAACAGAAACCCTGATTAGAACCGAGGTATTTCACGAGAGCTGCATTATATTCAAACATGTGAAGTCCAAAACAAAGGCTATTGCTCAATCTTGACAATACATTCAAATTCCAAAACTGAAGCACTGAATGAATAATGAAAGAATATGTACCTTAAAATTAATTGATTCAGCAATTTACCGCAATTTGTAAAGCTAACTTTAAACACCTGAAAATGAGACAAATAGGGAGACAAGTGACATGTGTTTGGCCACTTAAGTCAAGAGGACAAAAGTGCTCCTGAACATAAATTGCATTGAATACTACAAAGTGCTCAGACTGCTTCCCTCTAACATGCGCTTATGTTCAAACCTTCCTTCCATACCCTCCTAGCATATACTTCTTCAAAGTAAAGATGAATATCCGAATCTTTTCAATTCACCTTTGTGACACACTAACAATTGCACAATCATTTCCATACACTCACTCTTGCCCAGCAAATATTTTCTTTTCTATAATTTACAGTATCTGGATTCTCTCATCAATAAAATGTTAAAACTTCAGTCACTTATGGATACTGTCCAGAACAAGAAA